AAACCTGCATATACAAACCTACACATAACACGACCGTTCATTATATATGCTCCATTTTCAAGTACTAGGCAATAACAAACACATGAGTATTGATGTGGAATCACTTGAATCATAATACTAGCCAAATGTACCAATTATTCTGTAAATTATGCATTAACTGCAACCATCTAAGTATTAATTGAAGTCAAGGGCAGCAACTCCAGTATATAATTGAAGTAATAAGAAATTTTATTCTGCTTGCATTCATAGATCATAAATTCAAATCAAGAGCAGTAACTCAGTAATTGGTTGAATTATGTTTTTACTTCAGTCTCAGAAATAGTAAATTTCTATCTGTTTAAAAGCATTTTACTGACTTGGTAGATCTTTATTTTGATCTAACCAACATCAATGTGTGTGAATATCTATTACCAACAAGGGCAGTAACTCTTAATTACTTAAATTGTGTTTTCAGTGTCAGTTAATGTTCTAGTAAATTACTGTCAACTTGACAACATCTGACTGGATTGATAGAGAGAGGGGTACTATGCACTTGAAGAGGGTATCTGGTTAACCTTAAGATATAGACAAGGTATTTTGATATTAACCTAGTAAAAGATGAGTAAGCTTGGTCTGATAAGAGCCAGCTGGTTTACAGAATCTCATAATTACATATTCACCATAATCTAATCAATCTAAATTTTACATCCACTATCTTCTTTGTAAATCTTATTAATGGTTCCTGGTAACTAGCAGGGTGGTTCCATTATGTCCTGAGATTGGAACAAGTCTGTTTGATGTAACAAGATAGTAAACTATGGCTATCCTGCTAAATTTCTATTTTATGTATACTACTACTTTTAATGGACATGGTTTACTTTTTTAAATAACTAAGTCAATTAGACTATAAAATCATACCCTATAGTACGAAAATATATTTATTTTGTGTGTATCATGGTATATGTTGATACCCTGGGTACAACTCAATTGATCTCTGCTACAGATAGTGCTGGGTATCGTCAATTATGCCACAATACGATTCGTATCGCGATACAAGGGCCACGACATGATACATATCATGATATAAGGTAATGGGGAAAAAATTAACATTTTATCTTCAAAGTTTATAACTGTGATATTTGGTAATATAGTATAGAAGTGGTTAGCGTCGTACTGCCTTATAAAAGTTTCTAACAATTAAAGTGAAAAAAAGGTGTTATAAATCAACTTTTAAAAATCCCAACTTTTTTATGGAATAAAATGTAGTGACAAGTGTTGTGCTGCAATACGTTACAATGTTGTATCGCGATACATTAATTCACCATTATATCGTGCCAGCACAAGCTTGAGAATGACATTATAAGCAAAAAAAGGTTGAATATAGAGCCAAACTTAGAGTGGGTGTTAAAGCCAGCCCTGATCAATTCCTTTAGTTTGATAGATGTTGTGCAATAATTTCTCATACCATACCATTGTCCATGTTAAGAAACTCCTGAGCATTGTCCTCTTGTTATTTCTACACATCACATATTGAGTTCATGGTAGTACTTTTGTGGATAAGTATTTAGTTAAGATTTGAGCACGTCATATAAATATAGATCAGTGTTTGCAACTGTACGTATAAGTTGTCTATATTTTAAGATATGTTTTTAACGAAGTACAATAAAGGTGGCTATTGCAGTCAAGGTATAAGACAGAGTTTTTAATAGCTTGACATTGTGAAGATGACAGTATATATAGGTTACAGTCTATATTTGAATTCAGTTATAAATTTGACCTGGTTTTAAGGAAGTAAGAAAGATAGATAAGTACAAGAATGTTGTCTTTCGTTCGACCCAGACTAATTAACTATATATATCTTTCTTTAATTACTCATTAATTGTCAGTAGATTTTGTTGTTCTGTAACAAAGTATGAAATATTTTCTTAAATTGTAGAGCCAGTTTCTACAATTGCTATACACTGAAATAAAAAGGGTGACAGAAAGAAGGAAAGGAGGAAAATATAACAGGATGAGGGAAACTAATTAACAATTATTACCCTTTTAAATAGAATAACAAGAAGTTTAAACATCTCATACATTTATAAGACAGACTATTTTGAATACATGTTTCTTTCAATACTTAAATATTTTTAATGGAAAGATTCAAATAAATTATTACTTTGCTGTAGATAGGGTGATTCACATTGAGTCTCCCTTAATCTTAACAGATGGAAATTGAAAAGGAGCAGGCTAATGCCGCTGTCCTGGCAAAATTTCTCCTCATTGCACCCTGCATGGCGTTACCCGTCTTCATTTCATTTGCCCAAACTATGTAGAAAAGTAGGACGTAAAGTCCATTAATTTTATTTTTGGGGCAAAGTTTTAAGTTGTACGGGACTAAGGGGTGATAACATTGCTTTGTGAACCATGAGAGACAGAATGACATTGGGTATTTCACAACTGTGTGGATGATAGAGGCAAGGCGCATACAGATATAACTAGCTCTAAATATTCAACTCCATTAGTTGTGATACAGTACAGTGTTGTTTTTTAACTGGTGTTGTTGTTGTCAATATATTGATATACTATGAAAACTAATGACATGACTTGACATTATGGGTGCAATTTTAACACTTCTGAAATTTGATGCGTAAGGATAGGTCATATTAACAAATTGAGTGTTTGTTGAGTTTGACAAGTAATATCTTAATAACTTATTCATTTTAAATCAGCGAATATAACATATTAGTTTCATATACCTGTGCAGAAGATGAAAGCTGATACTGGGCTTACCGTACTTGTTTATGCAGGTGAAATGTTAACACAGGCTATATTCTGTATTCTGTATCAAATTAAATAAGTTAATGATTTGAATGAGACATAAGAATAAGTTTTATTTGTCCATCTTCAGAAGGATGCAGACTGAAATAGGTCAATTGCGTGAAACTCTGAGTAACAACATGCTTTTTAAAGTCTTTGAATGGCATTTAGCAATTGTACGATATATAGACACAGCTTTTGGAACAACAATCACTGGTTAAAGTTTTCTGCAACGTTTGGACGTGTTTCCCCCGTCGTCCTCAGGCACATGAGGACGACGGGGGAAATACGTCCAAACGTTGCATAAAACTTTAACCAGTGATTGTTGTTCCATAAACCTGTGCCTATATACCTTTTATTTTTAGGTTCTGTTTTAATATTTCTAAGTTTGAGATTTGTATAAATATTGTTTTATGATGTTGAAAATATTTGCTGCCAGGTATGATTTGACTAGAAGTACAGAAATAATTTTGTGCCAAACAAGTCACCTTGGAGTAAACTCAATGGATGTTTTACACTTAGTATGTAAGTCTTGTTGCCAATGCTGACTGATTCTGTTATTATTGGCATCACAACTAAGATTCGATCAAATGAAATGGTTTTCAATTGAGAGCATCTTTGGAAAACACATCATGTTCAAATTCATTGTTGCTGATGCAGTAGGCTTCTAGTGTTAAAAGGACAGATGCACCATTCTTCTTGACCAATCATATTTTAGTCTCAGAAACGGGGAATTTTTAAGCTAAGAAATCCACGTGTGTCCAGAGTTATCTATGTTTGAATGTTAAAATGACGACTCGTTATTTTACCAGTACCAGTACTTGTGATATATAGAAAAGACATAGATAGTAATAGTGAGTAAAATTCCTAGTTAGAAGTATTTTAAAGGAAGTAATGTTATTTTTGTACATTTCCAGTACTTCTGAAGACTATTTACATATATTCAAGACTCAAATCAACACCTCAAATGGCGTACCTGTCCCTTTAAAGTATTAAATTATTTTCTTTCCAATTAATCATTTTTGGAAAAGATTTGAAGAGCATTATATAATCTAATATAACAATCACAAGTGAAATCTATCATGTATTTCAACAACCAAAACTGCTAAAATACTTGAAAATGTTGCCTGGCAGCAAAAGTGTCATATATAAAGTGTTGAATATATTTTGTGAATAAAATATTGTTAACAAACAAAAAATAGTGTCACCGTATTTGATGATTTGGTGTCTTGAATAGGTTTGTATGAAATAAAACATTTTGCTTAATTGTCAAAGAACAATTATTTGGTGCTATAGAGTAATATTTTAATTTTGATTCTGAAGATTAAACATTTATATTTTGATATCAAGTTATATATTCAAAGGGATTGTAAAGAGGTTTTCTAAATTTTGTATGTTAGTCGGGGACTATGAAAGCATCAATTTGTACCATTCCAATTTTCAATCAGACGTCTGTGGTTCTAGCAATTCAGCAAAACTAAGTGTTTTATGCGTCAAGCCCTCAAAAGTCTGGTACGATTCAAACAAATTTAGCAGGGGTAACGTCATAAAACACTTAGTTTTAGTAGAATTGCTAGAACCACAGATGTCTGATTGAAAATTGGAATGGTGTAAATTGATGCTATCATAGTCCCCGCTAAACATAACAAATTGGAAATCCTCTTTAGAATCCCTTTAACTTAATCCTTTTCCAATTGCTATTTAGTATTCTATTATTGTCCATTTGTATTGTTTTCTCTATTCATTTATGGTGCTGTTAATGTGCTTATAAATATTTGGG